TGACTGACTGTGGACTCACCGCTATCCTACCGACGTTGTACTGCGGTTGCACTGCGGTTTAGTCCACCACTTGCCTCACCACTTGACCACTTGCCCACTTGCCTACCTTCTAGAAGGTCTACAGCTAAGCTTTCGGAACTCACTAAGACTCCTACGCTATAGACCTACAGATCGAACCCCTGCTGCCTATGGACCTACGACAGGCCTACCAACTGCCTACTAATACACAGGTCACAGGTTCAATTCCCGGGGGCTACACAGATACTGTACATGGGTAAGGTGAGGGCTAGGGATCGAACCCTGGGTACTGCATCCGCTACTGCTAAAGGTGAAAACCGTTTCACTCCCGCAGTCCTAAATTCGAGGTCCTCCGAGAAAACTTCAGTCCAAGGTGGGACCTGTACCTTTCTTGTCACGCTCATAGGCTCTGACTATGTCGGGAGCAGTCTCTAGAAGTTCTGCTTCCGTGAACCAGCAATCGTCTTCTGGTTCCTGATAGGCAAACCGGACTTTATACTGTTTCTGGGGACGACCTCTACGTCCTGGCCTAAACACATCCTCTTCTACAATGCCGTCTATGTCATAGCTCCCATCCATATCCGGTGGGATCATGGATCTCCTGGAAGGGAACTGTTGACTAGTGACACACAGCAGCAACTTTGAAGCATGGAACACAGGGTATGTGTGGAGGTGTGCTGGAATCTCAATGCTGTAGGACGGTCCATCCTCTCCGCCCTTGACTTCTAGAATCGGCCACGGTCCTCTATATGCTGGCAGCAACTTTTGCGAGATGTTTTCTTCCGGTGCAAACTCGTTTGCCTTGACGCAGACTAAGTCGCCTACTTGAAACTGTGATGGGCGACGGTGCTTGTTAGCCTGCTCTATCATTCTCTGTTGGGCCTTCCGAAGGTTCTCAACAACAGTGGCTAACTCCTTTTCGTGCTGTATCGCAAACTCCCTGGTACCGGGTGGTAATCTGTGAATCTGATCCCGGTTCAGTCCTTCGAACGGTCTGCGCGGTCTAAAGGACTTGTGCAACTCATTGGGAGTGCGGCAGGTGGATAGATGCACGCTGTTGTTGTATGCACTAGCTACCTTAGGCAACATCTCATCCCAGTTAATCTGATATGGTCTAATGTACATGTGCAGAACTTGCTGTAGGATCTTGTTCATCTGTTCTGTCTGACCATTAGTCTCTGGGTGACGGCCGGACGATATTAACAATTTAGATCCGTAGACTCTCATGAGTTCTTGCCAGTTCTGGCTGGTGAAACGACTATCTCTATCACTAACTATTGACAATGGGATTCCATTCTCACTAACCCAAAAGTCAAAGAACTTCTGTATTACTAAATCGGTACGTGCCTCTGCAGGCAAAGGAACAAAAACTGCATACTTACTAAAACGGTCGACTATGACCATGACTTGGCTCATACCATGTCTGCTCTTGACTTGCGTGTCCATGAAGTCTACAGACACTGAGTCTCCCGGCTGATCCGGAATAGGCAAGGGTCTGAGAAGACCTAGGGGCGCGCGTGTAGTAGACTTATTCCTATGGCACACTTTACAACTGCGGACATACTCTATGCAGTCATTCTTCATCCCTGGTCAGGTATACGCACGCATCAGGTTGGCTAATGTCTTTTGCCAACCGAAATGCCCTTCAGTATCATGGCACTCCCCTAGAATCAGACTACGAATCTCTTCGCTGTTGGGAATGCACATGCGATCAAACACATTAGTCTTCTCAAACAGCAACCCGTCTGTAGTGCGGTAATCTGGTTCGGTCTTTGGGGCCTCTCTAACTCTTTTTGGGAGGTCACTATAGATAGGGTCCTGCGTATACGCTTGTCTCACTTTCTCCTGCAGGCCTCTCCCTATATCCAGATAGTGTACTACGGCTCCAAAGTAGTCTGATCTCCTACTCAGAGCATCCGCAACTACGTTATACTTGCCCTTCACTAGTTTGAGCTCAAAGTCGAATTGGTCTATCTCTGCGGCCSACCTAGTCAACTTAGGTGTCATCTTGGACTGTGTCTTCAACCAACGGAGTGTCTCGTGGTCGGAATACACTTTGAAGTGCCTCCCAAGCAGATAGTGCTTCCAATGGTCTAAAGCCTGCCTGAGAGCGTAGAGCTCTCTCTCGTACGTGGAGGTAGCGACCTTCTCACAGGGCATCCTCGCTAACATGAACTCTACGGGTCTATAGTCATTTCCATCGTCTTGCTGCAACACGGCGCCTATCCCATACTGACTTGCGTCCGTGGTAACGACAAATGGCAAGGAAGGATCTGCTACTTTGAGGACATGATATTCTATTAACGCGCGCTTTAACTTCTTGAGCGCAGACGTACACTCTTTGTCCCATTGCCAGATTGCCTCTTTCTTCAGCAACCTGCGCAAGGGAGCGGCAATAGTAGAGAAGTTCCTTACGAACTTCCTATAGTAGTTAGCTAAGACTAGGAACGACCGCAACTCTGTCAATGTGCGGGGCGTCGGCCAATCTCTGATCGCCGCTATCTTGCTGTCCTCGGGCTTAATGCCATCTCCGTCTAATACGTGGCCCAAGTACAGGACTTGCGTCTTGGCCCACTCGCACTTCTTCGCATTGATCTTGAAGTTAGTCTCTCTAAGCTTCCCCAAGACCTGCCTCAGATGACCCTGGTGCTCCCGAAGAGTCTTACTAAAGACTAGGATATCATCTAAGTAGACTACTACAAATTTATCAAACCACGGTCTAAACAGGTTATTCATACAACGCTGAAAAGTAGCTGGCGCGTTGGTTAGTCCAAAGGGCATCACTATAAACTCATAATGCCCATATTTAGTCCGGAACGCAGTCTTGTACTGATCATCAGGATGAACCTCTATCTAATGGTATCCGGACTTTAAGTCTATCTTAGAGAAGTACTTACAACCTTGTACCCGATCTAAAAGATCGTCTATCCTGGGCAGCGGCTCAGCGTTCTTTACTGTGATCGCGTTCAAACCCCTACAGTCTATACACATACGAAGTTCTCCTTCCTTCTTGGGGACAAACAAAACGGGTGCTCCGAAAAGAGATGAACTGGGCCTGATCCAACCTTTCTCAAGGAGTTCGTCTAACTGCTTGCGAAGCTCCTCTAACTCTCTAGGGGACATCTTGTAGACTGCACCCTGAGGAGTTCTACTGCCAGGCTCTATCTCTATCCTGTGCTGGATGGGTCGCGGCACGTCTCCTGTCGGCGACTCAGTCAAATCCTGGAACTCTCCTAGCAGCTTGGTAATTGTTGGATATGTGGAACTATCCTTTTCCTGGCCCTTAGTGACAGGTCTAACATAAACTACAAAGACCTGATCTTCTAACTGCTCATTTCTGACTAATCGCACGAACACGGGAGCACTGAGACAGCAATGTGCCAAGGTGTTGTCTACACCCGACAAGTGGAACAAGCGGGCAGTCTTAATTTCTCCCGCCGGACTAGGGAGCCTACACTCATGCTCTCTCAAATGAAGTGTGGCCCCTGCTGCCTCTCCCCAATTCATTCCCAACACTATATCAAAAGGAAGGTCATCTTGTACGAGGAGAGTCAGGGAATGGAGAACTTTCTCCACCTTCCCATCCTTCTCTAGGCGAAAGTACGCCTGGACTCCCTCTACATAGTCCTCAACACGCATCGTGCGGTTGTCTGCGAGGACACTGACTATGGGGTCTACTAATTTCTGGACCTTTAGTCCTAGCCTCAACTTCTTCAGCGCCCTACGGCTAATATAACTACGGGTAGCCCCTGAGTCTATGAGGGCCCCTACTCTACTCATAAACACCTCTACATCTACTAAGATCAAATGTCCCTTACTCTTCTTTTTCATTTTGGCCCAGGCTTGCATCCTCTCCTTTAACTCTTCTGCCACACCTATGAGGGACGTGCCTAAAGAGATGCTAACACAAGCAGTCTCTGGACAACTATCTAGGCACGGGCCTGCAACCTCT